GTTACAAGTGGGCTTCTAACATCAAGGTCAGCAGTCTGGACCACCAGCCACTCTGTGAGCTCAAGATGGGCCTTTCCACTCCTCTACCCTGTCTCTATGAGTTCGCATGGACTCGATGGCAATGGGTTTGCATAAGTCCAAACCTGCGTAAGTCTTTTGGTGCAAGTCTAAACCTAGGTGTCAGCAGGACCACAAACTAAGAGTTATAAGGGAGGACCCTCCCTTACTTCTTTCTTAATTTTCTTGTTACTGAGCAATATTAGGTGTTCCTTGGCTTATTCTTGTCTCACTTGATTCTCTGCCGTTGTCTTCACACGGCTTCTCTCTCCTGTGTCTCTATATCCAAATTGCCTCATCTTATAAGGTCACTAGGTCTTGGATTAGCTCCACCCTAGTCCAGTATACAGCGTTGGCGGTGCTGCAGTTTAAGCACTTATCTACTCGTGGTGATTTGAACCTACCCAGCAGCACTGCAAGAGAAAGACCTGGCATCTGTTTCCATACAGATTGCATCCTAGAAAACCCTATGGAACAGTTCTACTCTGCCCCTTGGGGCAGCTCCCAGTCAGCTCCTCACAACGCATAAGGGCCACATTCACAGGTACCAGGAGTTAGGGCCTGTGCATATCTTCTGGGGGCTACCACTCAACCCACAATAGGTATCGAGCATTTAGCCTCCAACTCCACCAGACAGGGACAGCAGGCGTGGTGGCCAGCTGCCGACTGCCTCACCTTCATCCTGATCTGTTCCAGGCCTTCCTGCCCTTTAATTCCCAGCTGTCACCATCAAACATCCCCATTTCAGTTACTGAATTGTTCTGCTCCCCAGTGAACCTTTCAGCAACAACATGTCCTAAGTTGTTACACTGACTTCTTTTATAATTCAATTACTTATTGATGCCAGATCACTGAATTAAATTAATTAGGAGGCATGGCTTGAAAGTCATGCTCAATTTAACAGTAGATAAAGGGCTCATGGTGCTCTCAATACTTTAAAAAAAAAAACAGAAACTGCTCTCTCCTTCTGTGCTTATGTTTCACGAGTTTTTCTCTGATCAGTCAGTAGAGGTGTATTCTCAGCTGTGTACTCACAACCCGGGTACTTGCACGCCATCTTCATTAAGGTGGGATAAAAAAAATCCCAAATTCACTTTCCCAGGGTATTCCCAATTGAGTCACAGTAAAGGAAAAGTTTAGGAAAATGGATGATCCCTTGTAATGCACTGCCTCAAAACCACAAAACCCCTGCCATTGGGTCATTTCCCACCCGGAGCAACCTTGCCAGACAGAGCAGAACACTGGCCCCACAGGGGTTCCACGCTGTGGGTCTTTCTGGATGATGTCTGTCACATCTTTCCACTGCACTTTTGCCCACTGAGCGGCTGACAGGTTGGAACCACTGACCTTTCACGTAGCAACTGAGCACTCTAACCACTGCACAACCAGGGTTCCAGCAGACAGACATAATTATCCATAGAGAGAACTATGCAGATGGAAAATGATACTGCCAAGAATTAGGACTGCTAGCCAATCAGAAAGGGGGTCAAGAAAACCCTAAAATAAAAACTGACTAAACCTTTTCAATTGTTTCAAAACAATACAATGCAAGCTAAGAACTACACAGCAAGGAGCTATGTACAGTACACTAACAGATTCCCAATACGGGGAACATGGCACGATCAGTGAATGTGTATGGGTGAGTGAACGCAGGGAGAAATGAATGAAAAGGAGGGCATACCAGGTGGATGCCATGAACACATCTTCAATCCAGGTGGCTTCTGACAAACTCAGCCCATTTTTCATGACCTTGCTAAAAGTCATCCAATTTATGATGGAATAACCAATTTTAATAGTAGATGAAAGATAACATCAGGAGGGTAAATACATGCTCCAACATTTACATAATGTATTTGAAAGCTAAGTGAAAATTGGGAATTATCTGCATCACCATATTTCATAAACTATGGTTTGTTTGGT